GATTTTCAACGATATTCCTTGTCTCCGCATATATCCCAGCGGAGTCTCCATCCAGCCATTTCCAGTTCGACTTCTGTTTCATGGGATGCGATTGTCACTACCGCGACGGCTGTTTCCACCACGTTGATTGGCAACCGTTCTTCTTCACCCACTCATTGCAGTTATGCCAGTTATAACTCTGTGAAGCATTCCTCTCTGTCGGCAAGTCATTTTCCCAATGATTTCTTTTTTTTTGCGCGCATCTACCCACTTGTGTTATTAGTATACAGTTTATAGTTCAATTAAGTCAGAGTGCAGCCACCTTTTAGATATCACGAATCGTTGATTCCATATGAGACAGTGGGACGGGTGGGTAACATAGTCCAAATGTGAAATTTCCGACCTACTGGTGTGGCTTCGTAGCTCAGCTGGTAGAGCGGTTGCCGCGTTGAAGCATGGTGTTTCTGTCGCTGGTTCGAATCCAGCCGAAGCCCTGACTTTTCACAGTTGGGTCTCATCTAAACGATATATTTGTTAACAATTCGAACAGTTTAAACTTCTACCTATTCTTGAGACAGAAACAGTGATACTGAAGACCAGTTAACAGCAGTCAATCATGTGAAAACGTTGTGCATCCAGATTGTGACCGGTGCAATCAGAGTAAAATTACTGGTAGGCAGTTGGAGCAATCTCAACATTATTCATGACCAAATTTCGCTGAGAGCTCGTACATTGTTCTACAACCTTGGTTAATGTGAAGTCAGTCGCGTACTGATTAACACATTAAATCATGTCCAGAATTCCAGTTTCCTTCGCGGCAAAGATATACACAAATGAATATATCAGCAAGAGTTAACCTCAAACATATTGCTAGTTTTCGAAAAGGGTTAACCGAACTGTTTGCAAGCTCAAAACAGGTCACAGTAATTGTAAGTGATGTTGAAGTTAGACGAATGAAAACTGATAGAATGTTTTCTCTAGTAATGGGCCGTTACAGGTGAATATTTTCAGGACTGCAGTTTACAGTTTTAGTCAAGAAGCGGGACGTTTGTCAATTGATTATTAATGGCTTGAAAGAACGACGTGGTGAGAATGTTGTTGGATAGCTTCGTTTTTAGTGCGATCTTCTCATTGATTTGCAAAAAGCTTTGAGAACTCATTTGTTACACTGTTACTCCAACAATTTCTATTTCCATTTTTTGCTTCAACTTTTGTTTTGGTTCAATAGACGTTGGATATCTTTCTTCTTAAACAGAACACATGTGTGACTTCAGAGAGCGGTTTTTGTAGTGATACTCTTTAAGCTGAAAGAAAAGGTTGGAGTTACTAGGTAAATACATCGACGGAATTACGTAGTTACTGTTGATTTTGGATCAACAGAACTCATTCCTATAATCTATTCGTGATAATTCATCATTATCAAAATTGAATATCCAGGATAGAAACCGACTACACTCTGAAACACGGACGTGTATTGAACTGACATGTAGTGTCTCGGTTGAATTAGGGAATAATTTCACAAAGATTCTATTCGTAGAATTTCAGTGAATCGTACATTATTAAATGGACGGTTTGATATAATCATTGAGAGTGTTTAGTTTAATCTGCACATCCACATATCCAAATTCGCCACCTTCCACAGATATTAATCAATCATTTTAGTAGAAAAATCCTAAAAAAAAACATTACACGCCTTGGCGCTTTAGATCACCATGACTGCTGTGTATCCAACAAAAACATGCTAGTAACCATAAGGTGCTTTTAATAAACCGGTAGTATACTATCAAGACGTGATTTTAGTGATTGGTCTTTAGTTTGTCAGTGACAACGAGTTGTTAAGTTAATCAGCCAGTAAACCGATAGGATCGTTTTAACACAACACGACAAGGGCACAACTCCCTTTTCACCACCTGTTTGGAATGCAGTCATACGTAACCGTTTCTTACA